TATTTTGCAATTGAAATATTTTCATTCATTTTCTATTTAGCCATCTGATCAAAATATTTTGATAATATGACAAAGATCTTCTGCAGTTGTGCCCTTGTGTCTTATAGGCACTAGGTTGATGAGTGAGAACCTTTAACTTAGTTATTTAAAAATATTATTTCCTTAGAGTGTAGTTGATAGAAAATACATATCAATAGAAGATACTGTGAAAAAATGACCAGCTTTAACTGACTGCCTCAATATTTTTAAATTAATTTTTATATTAATAGCAAGTAAATTCTTGCTATTTAGGCATGATTTAAATACCATGGAATTATATCTTTAGAAATTGTTTGAAAGGAAACTAATTTTACTTTGCCGTTGTCCTGTTTGTGTTATTCTTATTTTTCCTCATTAATAGAACAGGCATTCTCGTCGCACCTACTGGAACCAATAGAAGAACTTTCAGAGGAAGAAAAAGGTAACAAAGGGCTTGATCAGGGTTTATGTGCATAGATTATATTTATGTGCTAAAACCCAAGCCTTGAAAATACAAGCCGTATGATTTTACTGTATCAAAATTAGAAAAGACATTTAGGTTTGGATTATATTTTCAACCCATCTGTAGTATTCTGTTATCTTATTCCCCTAATATTCTGTTATATTTTCCCCTCCTTTACTATATTCTTATGCAAGTAGATGAAATGAGCAATTTCCTCTATCAGAGAACTTGAAAAAAAATTGTCTTCATTTCCATGTAGATATATTCTGATGAGATGACAATTTGACTCAGCACATGTTGTGTACCAGATGGTATGAAAATATTTGTGTCACAGTGGTGATTTCTCATACCCTTAATCTGAAATGAATAGGTGAAGTGCTCATTTCCAAATTATTCTAGTAGCAAGAAAAGCATAGTGTCTAAGCTCTGGATGTAGAATTTTTATGTGCAAAATAATATCTTCATGGTGGAATTTGGGAGCTGTCACAGGTGTGGGAGATAATTAAAATTATTACTGCTCACTCATTTTATTTGGTAGTTGTAAAACTTATTTTCTATCAATTAATTTTTAAAGTTTATGAGGGCTGGCTGGTCAGCTCAGTTGGTTAGAGCGCAGCCTTGTAACACCAAGGTCAAGGGTTCGGATCCCCATACCGGCCAGCTGCCAAAAAAACCCAAACAAACAAACAAAAAAACCAAAAAACAAACAAACAAAAATGTTCATGAAGTTTATGAAAAAATCTTAATTATAAGGAGTATTTTCTAATGCTAGACTTGTAGATCTTAAAAACAATTATATTTGAATGAGTTTATCATAATTTTTTCTATATTAATAACAATGCTTTACCATATATCAGTTCTTTAGGAGAAGACAAATTGTTAATACCCATTTGAGTTCTGGTTTTGTCATCTTTGTCAGGAAGAGAAGTAAGATTATATATTCTAATATGAAAAGTCAATATTTGTTATAACTTCTTTTGTGTTCTGTAGACTTTTACCAACCTTTGTTTATTTCTACAAGGCTACAAGTTGAGAATTGACCAAATCAGGCACGTTCATAATATCTACATAATGTATATTTTCAAGTCTTGATCTTGCTATTTTAGTCATCTATACTTGGTCTTGTGATGTTAGTCATCAGTAGTTTTTTTTTTGGTGGCTGGTGGGTACAGGGATCCGAACTCTTACAACACCACACTCTAACTGATGAGTCAACCAGCCAGCCCTTTGTACTTTCTGATATTTTTAGTGAGGTTTGCTTATTTTGCTTCCATGTGTGTTTGCAGTTTGTCCTGACTTTCTATATTTTAGACAGACTATTTAGTTTAGATTTCATATCTTCGTATCCAAGCAAGTAGTTGCCCATAGTAGGCACTGATATTTAAAAGTATTATTTTGTTTTATTTATTCATTTTTTATTTTTATTGATTATACGTATTCATGGGATAAAAAATATTATTTTAGTTGTTTCTTTTTAAAAATTTCTTTGTAATTGCTGTTTAGAAACCTGTTTCAGAAACAAGAATGAGTGTAAATGCATTAAATTACAGTCACGTGTCACTTAACGACAGGATTACATTCTGAGAAATGTGGTGTTGGGTGATTTTGTCCTTGTGTGAACATCACAGAGTGTGCTTATGCAAACGTAGATGGCATAGCCACTGTTGTGTATGTGCTCATGAAAATGCCGTATGCAGTACATGACAGTAATAAAGCCATACAAAGTTGTTGAGGGAAATTTAGACTTTTCATCTACAGGAGATGATGAGTTTAATTTTGTCTTGTCTGGATAGAGGTTTGATTTGCTCTTGAGTGTTCCAGGGTGGAGAGAGACTTGGAGAAAGCACAGGATGTAGAGGTCTATTTGGTGTCATCTTCTCGCTCATTTTCATCTTCACGGTCAATGGAGAGAGCAGCACACCTGCTTGTAGAGCTCAACTTGGAGGCTGGATTTTCTTTGGGTTTCTTTAGCTCAGGTGCAGATCTGGAGTCTTGATCCTTTTTGCCATCTTTCCTATCCAGCTCCTTGCGGTGGTCTTTGTTCTCTCCTCCTCCTGGACCACAACGAGTATTCCCCGTTTGCCTTTTGGGGACACTCATCCCACCTACTTTATTTTCATCTCTCCTTGCTGTTCCTTCCTCATATGGTCAGGCTGGAGCTACTTTTCCACCCCCACTTGTAGGGGATTGCTGCTCTGTGATCAAGCAGGAGGGTTAGAACTTTGCTTCACCCAAGCATTCTTCTTTGGTGGAAGGACTGGCATTACCTTAGAGGCTGATTGGGTTTGGGAGTTTTAGAAGTTGGAGAGTGACAGTCTTCCTCCTTAGCGAGGGTTTCATTTTCTAGAGACCTCTCACTGTCTCTCCTTCGTGCATTTCTGCCTGATGTGGCAGAGGTCCCAGTCTGCGATGACTCACTTCCCGTCCTCCACCATTCCCGTTCCTGAGTTTCTTCACTTCGCCAGTTTGGGTGTCTCTCCTGAAGCTGTCGTTCTAGTTTTGGCTCATCTAGCTGACGCTGCGATCTCTCTTGTTCCTTTGTGGCTGTTCTTTTACTTCTCTTTCTCTAGCAGCTGTGTCAACAGGCTTTGCCCCTCCAAAGACAGAAACCGCTCAGCTGGACTGGGAGGTACTAGCAGAGGAGTCATCTTCCTTAGGAGTACTCCGGGGCTTTAGATTCAGTTTGAGTCTTTGGAGGGGGACATCTGTCATCAGCCTGTAATCATCCCAATAGTAATCATCTCTGGAACTTCATGACCAATGGTCCTGTCTGTCATAATGGTCTTCATAGTGGTCCCCGCCTCATCGGTAGTCGTCATCCCTGTGATACCCACTACCAAATGCTCTTCTGCCACTACCTATCCTGGAATCATAGCCTCTATCATAGTCTCTGCTGCCTCAGTCATCATAGCAATCCCAGCCCCCATATCAATCCATATCCCGGTGAGGGCCGTCCCAGTACCTGTTTGAATCATAACGATCTCAATACTCATCTCCAAAGTTATCATCACCTCTTCTAGGCAGGTAGTCATCATAGCTGCCTGTGGCAGGATGGGCCATCTAGTCAGCATCTGTTTTGTCAGAATTTTAATTTCTGTCTTGGCCAAAAGAGTGATCACCCCTGTCTTTATCCTGTGCTTGATCAGCAACATCCACTCAAATTCTCCTGTTACCTAGAGACTCTTCATTGAGACTCAGGGAACTGAGTAGGGAATCCGGGTCCTCAAACTCAACATAACCGAAACCTCTGAGCCTCTCTGGATTGCTGGGTTCACACGGTAAATGAGCTGAACTGATATTTAATCCTCTGAAGAATTCCTTAATGGAGTCTTCTGTCACATCATAGGGCAGGTTCCCTAGAAAAGCAATGTAGGGTGGTGATTTGGGAAGACGGCTCCAGTCAATATTGGGTTCCCGAGCAGCCGGTGGAGCAGTGGGAAGGATGGAATGGTCCATTGGAGGTGCTGTATACACATCGTCGTCATCACTGTGCCAAGTGGTTGAAACATCTCCCTGCAGGTCTTCTGTTTCATCAGCCCAGCTCGCTGGTTTGGGGGCGAGTCTACTTCCTCCACCAGTCTCCCATCCTCGGCCAGCAGGTCTGTTAGGGAGGTGGTCTTCCCCTTCTTATTCTTCCTTACTGAGGCTGCTACGTTGGGAGAGGGAGGGCGAACTCAAAGGCAATTTAAGGGTGCTTCGATGAGCATAATGTTAAACGATATTGTCACCCTCTTACGGGATGCTTGGCCTTGTTCCATTTCACCAAGAAAGAGCTCGGTGGATCATTAGCAAATACTTCCAGTGGCCTAAGGATGGCCACAGTGCAGGTGTCAAACCAGATTCCTACAGGTGAAATCCATTCCACAGACTGAGATTTGTTTGAGCTCTACTGTTGGCAGCTATTTTACAGTCAGTTGCCCACATTAAAAATCAGAATATTTCATGTGAATATCCTAATTTCTGACGTCTCCTGAAAAACTGGAAATCCTGGGCATACGGTCCAGATAGCAACATTCACCAGGGCTGAGTAGCAGTCACCGGCTGTAGAAGCAGCCACGGGCTCCTCGAGTTGCCATACCCCGCCTTTTGCCTGCCTTCTTTGTATAGGCGTGTGAGTCTGTGAGCCCTGTAGGTTAAGAGAAATGCTGCTTATAATATATTGTCTTTAGGTGAATTTCAACCATCCCTGTTGGTTTCCCAGAGACAGGATGAACATATCTTATCCTATTTGAGTTCTGAACAATGACACATCATTTTACTTGCAAGTAACATGCTTCTTCTCTCTTCCTTATGTATCATTTATTAATGTCCAAGACATAAAATCCGTTCTTCTTTGAAAAATCTATGAAATGTGTCAGGAGGTTCATAGAAATTTCGAAATGGGAACTTCAGGTCATACGCTTCACACGCATTTAAGAAACAGGTCAGCCAGGGTTCCAAGAGGAATGGTGGTTTGTCCACTGTCACCTAGAGAGGACTCTTGACTTTCAGTTCCAAGTTCCACCCACTCCCTCATTCGTCTGTGCTTTTAGAGTTCTTCTACCCAACGTAGAAATTACATTGACAGCAGACACCATCACTGGTCATTGCCACATTTGGGGGACTGGACTGGGAGAAAATAACCCTTGCAACTCTCCATGTGTTCAGAGAGAGCGCTGGTGGGAGATAGGAGAGTGCCAAGGACCACGGAAAACACCCCAGGGTCCAGGTGCACCACTACAGAAACCAGTGACTGTATTTTTCTACTGCCTTTGTGGAGTTGGCATGCTGTCAGCAGATTAATTGCCATCAATAAATTCCTTAACTTGTGCTAACGTTTTGCAGGTAAATGCCTGTGAAGTTAAATTTTGGCAGTGGTTTGCAAAAACACTGTGGCTGTTAACTAGGAAGTAACTCACATGTGCATATTTCTGTGGACTTGCTTTTTGACAGTTGTATAGAGGCATGCTTGGCCTTGCTGTTTTATAGGATATTAGAATGTGAAGACCAGAAGGGATTTTAGAGGTCATTTTATTCCTCAGAAACTTGAAACATGGGATTGGAAGTGTGCTCCTGGTTGTTGAGTTTAATTAGTGACAGGGCTGGAACAAAAGTCCAGGTTTTCTGCTTTCTACAGTTTAAAGCAGAAAAGAAATGGAGAAAGGGAAGCTGGTGCAGGCTTTGCAGGACTAGGTGAGTGGCCTTTGGGGAAGCCCCTGTACCTCTCTGGTTTTAGCATCCTTATGTGAAAAATGAGGAGGTTCATTACTAGGTGATAGATAAAGTCCCTTCCAGCTCAGAAATTCCAGTTTTTTAAATTACTTGCCTTGTGCTACAGTGATTTGCTTGCCATAAATGGTATGTTGTATGTCTGATGTAACTGATTATGTGGAGCCTGCCCATCTGCTTGTATGTGTTTCAGAATTTTTGTTTGGAGGAATGCTGATCTCTGGAAAGTTTTGTCTTGTTGGTCTAGGTGAGCAATATGTGCTTTAACTAAAATCTTCAGCTATGGTTGGTTTTCAAGTAATTAATTCCACCTCTACATAAAAACTTTATTAATTTTTTTCTGTCTACTCTATATTCTTTCTCTTGCTTCTGTTGGCCAGCCCCAGCCTTTTAAGGATTCTTACCAATAGTTTTCTGATTATTCGTAAGTGACTTCCCAAAGCAAGCACCAACATATAAAGTGAATTTGAGCACAGAGTGAAATGTTTAATCTGCCGTAATTTGGGAGAACCCGGTCATCAAAATGCACTTGTCATCAGGATTGAAGGTGAACCTGGATACATCAGCAAATGAATTCAACCACTAATATCAAAGGCTTTGTGATTCTTCTGCACTGTAGGCAGGCCATTCTCAGCATTGACTGACCCTTGTATGTGGCTCCATGTCCCTGAGTAAGCAGGGTCTGGAGCCACTATTTAGGCTATGCTTCTGTGTACTTCCTTTTTTATTTGAGATACTGGCCAAAAAATTACCTTTGCATAACTGGGGCGGGGTATGTGTCTATTTCAGTGGTAACATCATGCGTTCTAGGCTCTCTCTTAGTGCCTTTTCTTATTTTTAGCACTATATATTAGCAGACTTGATGGCCAACTGGAAGCCAAAGCCAGTGACACAGCCATGGCCACAGTTAAGCCCTCTAGATTTTGATGGATTGTCAGTTCCTAGAGCAGAAGTGCTTTTTTTGGTGGTTTTAGAATATTTGAAAACATTGGTGGTTAAACAACAGCATGAATGCTGAGAATATAAAATTTAAGATGACTTCTGCTTTTAATCATATATAATCATACACAATTTTATAATTTCAGCTTAGCAAGCTGAATCAGCAAAGTACAGAAAAGTATTTTTATGCAGGATATTTTCCTCCTATTTAATGTACAAATAGTACTTTGACTAATTTTGCTTTCAGTAAAACCATTTGTTAATTAACAGAAATATTCTTTATTACTGGAATTGAACTGGTGTTTAGAAAATATCTTAAACAAAAGGTATTTTGTTCAAGATCTTCTGCAAATCTCAGTACTGTGGGTACTAAAAGTCCCATCTGCTGAGGTGGATGCAGCAGTGGAAGAAGAGAGTGTCTCAGGCAGCCTGAAGCCCCACACCTGAGGAAGGTGGCTTTCAATGCCACCTTATTGGGTGAAATGCCTCCGTTTAGAGATTAGATTCCAGAATGATACGGTTGTCGCATTTCCTTCAGCTCTGGCTCTGGACATTCACCCTTGTCTGAACTGCCACGCATTGCATCTCTTTAGTCAGTCTTTGTTTCCTTGGACATGAGGACTAAGCTCTTCAATGGTCTTGCCATCCACTCCCCTTTGCCAAATGCTCTTGAACTAGTCATTTTTAGTGGGTAATAGAAGTGGAGTAGGGAAGGAGAAGTGAGAATATGGCCTGTTGTTTTTGGTTTCTTTGTTTTTAATTCTAGGTTGTTTTAAACAAAATATACTTTTTCTAAGACTTTTGTTAACCTCTTTTTCATTTTGGTAAATATTTTGAGGGGGATAATTTCACATTTTGAAATTTTGTATGCACTTAGCTTCTACTAAATTTATTACTTAAAAACTTTTAATCATTTAAATAAATTGAGCTTTTTCTTCATAAGATGACACATAAATTCTAATTGAACTTAGAGATGAATTTTTCAGGAAATAGTGAAATAATTGTAGTGATAAAACATTAAACTTCTAAATAAATTTTTTCCATCATGCTTCTACAGATACATATGCTTCTTATGTGATTTATCTAGCTGTAATTAGGTTAAGTGATCAAGGGTCTTTAAAGACACTGAAGTTTTGAAGCACACTTAAAATACTTTTAAAAGCTATAATACTTGAGTATTTTATATTGTGCCAAATGACTAAAATACGCAAAACCTTAACAACATTACTAAAGTTGTGCTTTGCCATTTTCTGCTTAGAGATTTAATGTATTTCTTTAATTCCTTTTTAACACATCTTTTAAACCTTATTTCAGGAAGGGAAAATGAACAGAAATTACATAATAACAAGATGAATCTAAGGAAAGCTTTGAAGAGTAACCCCTCCCTCATTAAAGAAATAAGAACAGTCTTGGAGCAGAGCTTGGTGGAGAAACTGGAAACCTTGGGAATTAATGCAGTATGTTCATTCATTTTTGGAATATTTCCTAGTTTTGTTATATTTTGTTCTCTAAATAAGAAATGATCAGATAAGACAAGGTAGCATGTTAGTTCTGTCTATATATGGAGACCAGAGGTTAATACAACCTACTTTATTTATCAGACACTTAAATGGCATTCACTGTGTGCCTGGTACATTTTTAAGACCTTAACAAATAGTAACTATTTAATGTAGAAACAAATCTCTGATATAATGACATTATTATCTCCATTTTACAGAAAGGTTAAGAAACCAGCTTGAGGTCACATGGCTAGTAATGAAGGAGCCAGAGTTTGTGTCTAGGCAGTCGCAGTGCTGCTTACATTCGGATATTAACTCCAAATCATTGCCTACTACAAAATCAGCACTTAATAAGTACTTGTTGAGCGAATGGATGAATGAATTGTTGTCAGTTTGAATGATTTTGGTACATTATATTACATATAGACTCTTTTTGCTTTTTACATTTTATATTGACATAATAAATCTTAACTGAACAACTTGATGAATTTACAGACCTACATATGTGAATATATGTGAATTTATATACCTATATTTGTGAAGTATGTGAATACATATGCATGCGTGGGCATACACACTTATGCAAGTATGAGCACATGCATACATGTGTGCATCATATATTCACATCTACATGTGCACTTGGATGTGTGTAGTGTGGGGGGGTATGTAGATATATGCATGTATGTCTCTGTGTGTATCTGTATGTGTCCATGCTGATGTATATGTGTATAGGTATTTGTGTGTGTATATGTGTGTGTATACGTGTGTGTATATGGATGTGTTTGTATATGGATGCATATGTATATGTGTATACATTGTGTGACTATGTTTATATGCATATGTGTATATATGGACATATATATGAGCATGCAGATGTATTTGTGGATGTGTTTGTGTGTATTCATGTTTATATACTTGTATGCATATACGAGGGTACTTCAAAAAGTTCACAGAAAAATTTGCATTATCTTTTAATTCTATTTTTATTACCCTTGTATACAGATTTGTGTGTACATGGATGTGTGCATGTATATAAGAATGTGTGTTTGTGTATACGTGTGTCTTTGTGAACGTGGGTGTGATCTGTAACCAGCACCAGATGATGAGATCGAACATTTCCAACACAGATTCTTTTATCTTTTCCTAGTCAGTATCACCCCCTACTCCCCAACCAGAGGTAACAGGTATTCTGACTTAGTTTTACTTATTCTTGAACCTCATATAAGTGGAATTGTACACTGTGTAGTATTTTGTTATCTTACTTCTTTTGCTTATGATTTTGTCTATGTGATTCACACCTGTCATTTCATGTAGCAGTAGCTTGTAGTATTCTTGCATGAATATGCTGCAATTGATCTCTTCCTCTGCTGATGCACATTTGAATTTCCAGTTTGGAGCTCTTGTTGGCTATTAATTATTATTCATGTCTCTCTGTGGACATAGGCATTCCTTTTTCTTGGATATATATCTAGGAATGAAATTGCTGGGTGAAAGGGTAGGCCTATATTTAGTGTAATAGCTATTGCCAAATAGTTGTCCAAAGTGTTTGTACCAGTTTACAATATACTGAACAATGTGTGAGAGTTCACTTGCTCCACATCTTTTGCCAACTCTTAGTATTGTCAGTCTTTTTAATTTCCACATAGACTCTTATTAGGTGGGTTTTGACCACCCTTAGGGAAGCTGAAATCAAAGACATTCGTACAGTGTCTGTAGATCCTATGCATATTGTTTCTTGAAGCTGTAGTTTTTCGTGTTGGTTGTTTGCATATGGTTTTTGGGTTTTAACTTTAATTGGGACATTTTCTTTTATCCTAAGATTGTAAAGACGTTCTATATTTTTTTCCTAATGCTTGGAGAGGTATTTTGTTTATTTTGGTTTTTGTCTATTTGAGCTTTAAAAATTAGATTTGGAAAGAGTGATTTGGAGATCCAACTTTATTTTCAGTTGGATCTGTTGTCCCATTTCATTTGTTGAATACTCTATCCTTTCTCTACTTACTTGAGGTGACAGTTTTATCATATAGGAAATGTCTGTGTATACAAGTATTTGGATTTGTTTTTGGACTTTCAAGTGTTTTACCTTGTTTTTTTTTTTTTTTTGTACCTCTGACAACACCATGTTGATTGAAGTGCAGTAGCTTTGTCCTGTATTTTACTATCTTACATAGGCCATGCCTTCTTCATTAGTCTTATTTCAAAAATTTCTTGGCAGGTCTGCCATATTTTGTTTTCCAGTGAACTTTAGGACCACTGTCTCCAGTTCCAGAATAACACTTATGTGCCCAGTTGCTCTCTGAGCTCCTTTAGGGGCCAGAACAGTGTGTTATGTGTTGGGGCATCCCCCACCTTACTTGCTGCTGGAGTCCAGTAAGGATGGATTGAAACGTTGGCATGGTTAATGCTGACATGTGCCCATGAAATGAAAAACATACCAGGATAATTGACTGACTTAACATCTTATTCCTTTAGGATATACGCGGTATTCCAAGTGATCACTTGAGTAGAGTGCTGAGAACTGTGGAATCAGCAAGACACGAGCGAGAACGACAAATACCTAACATTCAGCAGATTCGAGAATTACTAGAACATCAGCTCAGCTGTAAAATGGAGGAGAGAGCATTACTCTCTTCAGGTAAGCCTGTTACTGCCATTTCACTGCTGTGGACGGGAACTTAATTTAACAATCTTTTCATAATTTTAAATGGTTTACAAACTTTGGCACTTCATTGGCAACTCTTACAATTCGTACTATTAAGTGCTGGGTCTTGGATTTTGTTTTTACATTTAAAAAGACCTCTGAAGTCTGGACTCCATACCCTAGAGATGGGCTTGTTCATTTCTGTGGCATTGTAGACAGTATTGTACTGTTTATTTTCACTTTTCACTTACTGATCATAAAGGCTCTGGAGACTCATGAATGCCACTACTATTCCAGATAAGTTCAGTGTTTCTCAGATGGATACTCTTTCAACTGGAGAAGTACCCAAAGCGATACAACTTCCTCGCAAGAGCAGACAATTGATTAGACAAAGACCTGTCTTTACTGATAGGACATCTGTTCCAAAGTGAGTATTTTCAACCCTAAACATTTTTTTATTAATGTTTGTCTTGGTCAGTTTGGGCTCCCATAACAAAATTCCACAGACTGGGTGACTAAAACAACAGAAATATATTTTCTCACAATTCTAGAGGCTGGAAGTCTGAGATCAGGGTACCCGCATGGTCAGTTCCGTTGAAGGATCTCTTTCTGCCTTATAGATGGGCACTGTCCTCACACGGCAGAGAGAGTGCTCTGGTCTCTCTTTCTCCTGTTCGAGGGCACTAATCCCATCAAGGGAGCCTTACCTTCATGATCTCGCCTAAACCTAATCACCTCCCGAAGGCCCCACTTCCAGATACTATCACACTGGGGGTCAAGTCTTCAGCATATGAGTTTGGGGGGTGGGAGGGAGGACACAAACATTGAGTCCAGAACAGTGTTTGGCCCAACAGAGAAATCATACTTGTAATTCCTACCAGTTTCTAGTTGACACTGGGAGCCTTACGTTGCTGCTGTCCCTCTTTAACATATATTAAAAGCAAAAATCACCAATTTCATAGAAATTTATGTTAAATTATATTATTCACAAACTCATGCAGTTTCGGAAAATTCTTATGTTGTTTTTAGAATTAAGAAAAATATCACAGAAGATCATTTTCCCAGAAAGTCTTCAAGTATTACGTGAGTACTGGGGTGGAGGTGGGGGGTATTTTTAAAATTCTTTTCATTAAACATTCCTTTCATTGTAAATTAATATGCTCATTGTGGTTAACTGAAAACATAAATATTAAATGTCATAATTAATTTGTGATTCCTTTGTGAAGTGTTGTATGTGACATGTCTTTGTTTCTTTATAAGTTATTACACAAGTCAATAGTACTTAATCACATTGTGGCCTCCATTAAGAAGAGGGACCACACCTGAGTCATTCTTATCTCTCTCTTCCCACCCTCGAATGTTAAGTAATTTCTCAATAAGCAGGTTTAAATTAAATCGATGTTTTGTTTTAATGACTAGATCCATAATAGTGTAAGTTTGTTTCAGATGATATTCTACTATTCTAGCTTCTTGTGAAAGTTGGTAATGACCCTAGACCTTACTCTCTTAGGTTCTCTTAGGATACTAAGAATTGTAGCTCACTCGCTCATCAACTGGGTGCCACAGATTCAGTTGATTACTGTCTTCAGCCTCAGTTTTCTTATCCATAATATAGGATGTTTTAAGCCTCAATTTTTTCTGCAAATGGGATAATGCTGCATTTTTCACAGGATAGTTCTACTAATTAAATGATATATGAAAAGGGCTTCTTGGCTCAGTGCTTGGTACTGTGGGTACTCAATAAATTGTAGGTATATTACTGTAATTAGTTATGAATAAAACTAATTTTATCATAATCAAATTTCATTGTCATTGTTCTGGATATATTGATGCCATAAATGTATCTTCATTCAGACATTGTACAGTAGAAATAATAAATAATGATTCGCCCTTCAAAAACACTTTTCATGTACGTAATCTCATAGGAAGAGCTTTATTTCATGTGATGTTGTATAACTCGATCAATATTTACAAGACTGGCACATTGGAATTTAGGTGCTCAATAAATATTTTTTAAAAGAGCAAACACTGATCTGGACTTCTATTTCACTTTAAATTGGGTGTGATAATTCATGTGATGATACAAATGAGATTGTGTACGGAAAAGCACTGCGTAAGGTATCATATAAGGTAAGTTATAAGTAACATCCCTATTTTAACAGATGAAGTAGTTTTATTGTGGAAATGTTTATCTTAGGTTTGTCAAAACCAAGAATATTAAGAATATACACATTTGGTCTTAGAGAAAAAAGTTTATAACTTCAATCCATGTTGATAAACATGCCTCATGGTTGGCAGGTCTGGATTTGCAATGACTCTTCACTCAGCCTTGGGCATGACACCTGGGCCCTACCACCATCTTGCCTGTGGCCACTCAGGAGATTGTTGGTTGTTGTCTCTGGGAATAACCTTTGTAAATCCTGAAACATAAAAAGACAGCACCCCCTGTTTGGGTTTTGCTTTGTGTAGGACCCCTCCCTTCAGTTCAGAGGAGGAGCCGGACGAGGACAACCTCATCCGGGTATACGCGTCCCCAGACCTGGTCCCCGCACACTCCTCTAAAAGCAACAAGAGCAGCTTTGGGAAGAGCGCCCTCAAAAGTGACATGGACTGGACAGAGGGAAGTGAAGTGGAGGACTCCTCGGATGTTTCTCCCAAGCCCACAGGTGAGCTTTTATCAGTGAAAAGTCTCACCTGGGGCACCAAGCCCGGGACGTGTGAGCTGGGGGCAGGGGGAAGGTCCGGCTAATCCAAAAGGCTCTGCCGCCCTGGAAGATGGACAGGCTTAGCAACCAGCCTGCGTTCACACTGAAGGAGAGGAGCGAGGTGGGGATGCCTGGGTGTACAGATGCTCCGCGACTTACAATGGGGTTATGTCCTGATAAACCCATCCCAAGATGAAAGTATCGTAAGTCGAAATGCATTCAGTACGTCTAACCTACCGAACCCCATAGCTTAGCCTGGCCTACCTTAAACGTGCGCAGAACATTTACATTAGCTTATGGTGCAGCAGAATCATCTAACACGAAGCCTATTTTATAATAAAGTCTTGACTCTCTTATGTAATTTGTTGAATACTGAACCGAAGTGAAAAAAACAACAGTTGTATGGGTACTCGAAATACCATTTCTACTGAATGCCTATTGCTCCTGCACCATCATAAAGTCCAAAAGTTATCAATTGGACCATCATATGTTGGGATCCATCTGCGTTAGTTTCCTAGGACTGCCATAACAAAGTACCGTGAACTGGGTGACTTAGACAATAGAAATTTATTGTCTTACGGTTCTGGAGGCTGGAAGTCCCAATCAGGATGCTGGCAGCATTGGTTCCATGTGAGGGCTGCCAGGGAACGACATGTTCCATGCCTCTGTCCTTGGCTTGTCTTCTCCCAGGGAATCTTCACATCCTCCTCCCTCTGTGCTGCATCTGTGTCCACATTTCCCACTTCTGTAGGACACTGATCATAATGATTAGGGCCCACCCTAAGGACCTCACTTTACCTCGATTACTTCTTTAAAGACCCCTTCTCCAAGTAAGGTCACATTCTGAGGTACTGGGGGTTAGGACTTCGACATCTGAATTTGGGAGGAAACAAGTCACCCATAACAGTGGGTGACTATGAGAATGGCTGTTCTAGTACAGTGTGCTGCCCCTTGGAACTGGGGCAATTCTAAAGAAAGACAAGGGCCCAGTCTGTGACTGCTGATAGTTTGCTGAAGAGAAGTGAAGCTGATGGGTCATTTAAAAAAAAAAAAAAAAAAAAAAAAAAAAAATATATATATATACACACACCCACACACACACACACACACACACACACACACACA